ACTGGGTGACTCTGGGTAACTTTTTTTAAACAATGCCACACAATATTGTGGAAAGGTCACAACACTAAGAGACAAGATCAAAAGGAAAGCTTTACAACAATATTAATAAAACGTAGCCTGTAAAATGTAAAGAGTCACTGAGTACAGTTTAATTCAATATCCACGTCCAGTATTTATAATAAAAATAATTTGCTGCAATTTATAGATTCTCACATGCGAGCAACCTGGGCCTCAGCAACAACCAGCTCAGCAGACTCCGGATGCCGAAACGATCGCTCACGGAAAAGACCCCGTGAACCCCGCAAACACATGATGCATGATCGCAACAGGGCAAATGAGAGACGGCATCTGATGTAAGATACTACGTGGGAGTACTGCTCCTTCCTCCTTTCCGCTCTCAATTTCCGCTCCCATGCCACCACTTGCCGACAGCACAACAGACATGAACGTCGCATGCTCTACCTCTCTCACTCTCTCTTCATAGCATCGTCGCTTTTCCTTTTCATGGCGCCGATAGACAGTGGTGTGTGTTGCAGATCGATTTAAGCGTGCATGAGGAATAAAAATCCGTATATCAAGTAAATTACGCTCAAAACGACTGCCCCACAAACCACTGACCGCTACATCAAGCCGCGCATGCTCCTCCACAATAGCAGACCTGTATCTCATTCTCTCTTCAGTGAGTGGCTGCAGCAGTGGCTCGATGGAGACATTGTGACAGGTCTCTTGAAGGAGAGAGGCTGTCACATCCCGGATCTCATTATGGCGGATAAGGGTAAAGCCACCAAGGGGACATGACAAGGCATGGTCAATACCACTGTCCCGTCCACAAGAGCAATGAGTTGGTAACCTAGGCGGCATCCAACCATAACGGAGCTACAAGCCGTCCATGAACTCAGCTTTGCTCAGTGAAAAGCCATACTTTTTCAATGGACAGCAAGTCAGCTAATTCGAGGTGCCAGGTTCATGGGCGAGGACAATGGTGTGTCGCAAGGCGTCCGACGCATCATTGCTGATACGCTGTGCCGACTCCGCCTGGCTATGACGTACTTCCTTCTTCCTCTTCGGCTTCTCCCGCTGGAGGCCAATCAGAGAATTCCCAATATCAGAAACGCGATCCACGATACGCCGGGAGAGAGATGCTGTGATGGCGACAGACGACTCATCCTGGGAGCACAAAGTCATCGGGCTGACCAGGCCCAGGCCACCTAAACGACAGGGCATTGCGAGTACTTCTCTCAACACTGTGCCAGGCGGTGGCCGACCCGTCATTGCTGGTATAAGCTTCGTGCTTATCACGTCTTCCAGTGGCTGGAACTGGGACGGAGAAACAGACTGATCGCGACATAGGAAAGCCCAGCGACTTCTCAAGCCCGAGACATATGCATAATATGCTGCCTGGGGCTGCGAGCGAGCGAAATCAGCCAATTGAGTTAGCTCTTCAGCCCACTCCTGGGCCTTAGTCAATACAAAGTTCTCCTTGAAGTCAGCTGAGCCGATGGCTGCCCCCAGGTACCGAGCTCCATCACACGTAATGATGACACTGGTGTCGCTGGACAGCTCAACTGCCTCACGAGACCAACGCTCCTTCACCACCAGAATCGATTTTGATGTATTTGGGAAATATCCATAAGCTGGGCCATCACTTGCCAAGATGTCCCACCAACGACGGAGCCTACGCAACACACTCACCGCTGCGGAATCATCTGCAAACCAAGACTGGATAGTCCCGGCTTGTTCAGCTTTGTGCACGAGAGGCATCATGTATGCCCACCTCCACCCCGCAGTCCTGACCGGCGCACAGCTGGGAGCAGCCAACAACCTGCTGAACCGCAGGGCCCACAATGGACACAATTGCTTTCCCCACAATGCGACGAACAACCTCGCCGATGCCAATTGGTCTGACACCGGGCCGCTTGTCCAAGGGCAGCAAGCGACATGCACTGAACGCCATCAATGCACCAGCATCAATATGCTCAGTGGCCACTCTAATGGCACAAGAAACAAGCGCATCACACAACCCATCCGAAGGGTCCGTGAAACTGGAGCACATATGACGCCAGGCCTCAGCATCCACACCGCTGGGTCCCGCTGCACCCTGTGTGCCTAGCGCTGCCTGTCGGATAGCACGGCGCCCCAGCGAAGCAAAATAGATGGGATGCGGAGGAGGAGGCGGCTGTCCCGCTATCAGAGCCTCGTCGCACACGGACTTAGCCTCATAATGCTTCTGCTTCAATATATCGATTACTGGAACACCGTCAATTCCATCACTGATGCTGTGCACTCCACCACCACGATCAGCACCACGATCAGCACCACGATCAGCACCACGATCAGCACCACGATCAGCACCACGATCAGCACCACGATCAGCACCACGATCAGCACCACGATCACCACCACGATCAGCACCACGATCACCACCACGATCAGCACCACGATCAGCACCACGATCAGCACCACGATCACCACCACGATCAGCACCACGATCAGCACCACGATCAGCACCACGATCAGCACCACGATCAGCACCACGATCAGCACCACGATCAGCACCACGATCACCACCACGATCAGCACCATGATCAGCACCACGATCACCACCACGATCAGCACCACGATCACCACCACGATCAGCACCACGATCAGCACCATGATCACCAGCACGATCACCACCACGATCAGCACCACGATCACCACCACGATCAGCACCACGATCACCACCACGATCAGCACCACGATCAGCACCACGATCACCACCACGATCACCACCACGATCAGCACCACGATCACCACCACGATCAGCACCACGATCAGCACCACGATCACCACCACGATCACCACCACGATCAGCACCACGATCAGCACCACGATCAGCACCACGATCACCACCACGATCACCACCACGATCAGCACCACGATCAGCACCACGATCAGCACCACGATCACCACCACGATCAGCACCACGATCAGCACCACGATCACCACCACGATCACCACCACGATCAGCACCACGATCAGCACCACGATCAGCACCACGATCACCACCACGATCAGCACCACGATCACCACCACGATCAGCACCACGATCAGCACCACGATCAGCACCACGATCACCACCACGATCAGCACCACGATCACCACCACGATCAGCACCACGATCAGCACCACGATCACCACCACGATCACCACCACGATCAGCACCACGATCAGCACCACGATCAGCACCACGATCAGCACCACGATCACCACCACGATCACCACCACGATCAGCACCAAGGCATCGCAGAGCAGCCGATAGCCTCCCAGATGAAACACAATCCGCAAACTCTCGTGCAAGATCATCAGGACGACCTCGACCCCTTGTACTGGACTTCGCTCGGAGATTGTGGATGGTCTCTGTTTCCAACAATAATTCATTAATCCGACCATGAAACCACTGGTTCAAACGCCTGTCCAGGAGCTTGGCATGAGCAGGAGGATCACTGCGCGGACCCTGCAGCATCAGCATCTGAAATACTGCTGCCACCATCATCGCGCTGTCAGCGTATGATCCTGCATCACCAAAACAGTTGAAATAAGTAGATATAGTTGTTATAAATCTCCGGCCAACATTTCCGCGAGGCACTTGAAATGCATTCGGAGCAAGATGCACACAATTGTCATATGCTGTGGAAAGAGCCGTCATAGTCTCAGATGCCGTCAAATTCCCCACACAAAACGTTTCACGAGGGGCTGTCACATGGCCGCAGTCATCCACACCAGGGACAAGGGTCGATCTTGAACATGTTCCTCTGGAGAAGACTCTGCCAATGGCTGAGCACAATGAACCGCACCACCATCACGCGCAATTGATGCACATGACGAAGCAGCACAAACGCCATGGACAGCATCAAGGTCGTTACTGTCAGGAACCAATGTGACAGGGACGCTGGCACGCAAAGGTCCAGCCATGGAATAGCAACGAGAAACAACAGCCCCTGACACTGTTGAAAGGTCATCATCACCCACATGTGCACTCTCATCAGCAGCTGCCATCCGAAAAACAGCATTATGGGTATGGCTCGAGTTACCAACACCGCCGGTATTGGACAATACCACGTGGTTCACTGGAAACAGAGGACCCACATCGCCGTCCAGCAAGATTAACGAGATGTTGTGAGGATTCCGACATTTCTCACTCACGCCAGATTTGCAATCCAAACAAGCCCGACCATCATGTTTACATTTGCATTGCCGGCACTAATCAAATCCATTCTGTTCCTGATGCCTCGTCGCGTCTCTGGTGGTAACAGTTTGGCATGGAAGTTTAACCTCATAGTGCATTGGCGCATGGGCCTCCGTGCTCCCCTCCTGTAATGTGCTAGAATCAACACCATAATCATTTGGCATGTACCCTCACTTCGTAGAGCACAACAGCGCGCTCTTCTTCTCCGTGATGTGCACAGTTGCACCTTCTCTCCCCCTCTGTATAGAGGTGACATAACTTGCATCATTATTTTATTTTTTTGGCGCTACACTCTGTGTAACGCCGTTCACAGAGCACAATGCGCGCTGCCTTCTCCTCTGTGATGTGCTAGTTGCGCCTTTTCTCTCTCTCTGTCCCCCCGTTTCTGCATACTAGGTGACATAATTCGCATCTTTTTTGGCGCTACACTCTGCCTCTATATACTGCTCTTGTGTGGCTTCTACGGTATTCATTGTTATTACCTGACAATGGCCAAGTGCCGAAACGTTGTAAAAATAACGGAACTGGTTCGGATGTGATGTGCAGCGGTATGGGAATGGGTGTGTCCACCTGAATTCTTTTCCAACATATACAGTTAGGAAAAAGTAGTTGTCCTCGTGACGTGTGGTCACTCGTTCCTGACACTTACGAGAATCAGAGGCTTCATAACAAAGCATTTTACACACAGCGTCGACAACTCCAGCAGTACTCTATATACACACAGGTATAATCTCTATTCTCTGCGTTCAGTGGTGCAGTTGAGAATACTTACAGTACTCGGAGGTTTGTTAGACCAGAGAACACACCGTCACTTAAATTCTGGATCTGATTATTCCCCAAAAGTCTACAAACGACAAAGCACAAAGACAATTTTGTTCTTGCTTAGTTTCGGGTAGTGCACAAAACACCGAGTCTAGGGTATAGTGGTTCAAATATATCAGGCCGAAACATGACCCTGGTTTAGGAATAACCTAGACTCTTAACCACAACATGATTCATATGCAACTTGGTTAGGTTGCACAGTTCACATATACCACTGTAACATAATTATAGTTTCCGTCGTTTTTCTCTCCATTGTCAAGCATGAGGTTTGTTGCAAAGCTAAGAAAACGCAATTTCTGAAGTTACTTTATTTGACACTGCAGAAAAATAACTAACCACACAAGCATGAAAAATATACTGGCTTGAATTGAACAAATTGCGTGAGAACTGAATATGACGTTAAACAGTATACCTAAACGGGGACTTCCCCAGGGACTCATAGAGTCATAGTCGTTGGTGGATAATGGCGGTAGATAAGGTACAAAAAACCCGTTTTTTATCGTTCGTGTAGTTAATATTTTGTTATGTTGGCAACCGCCATCTTTGTTACATACATGAAGAAATAGAGCAGAAATAATGGAAGTGCGTGCTATAAGGTTGAAGGTTCTGGAAATGTCAATGCTTTTCAAGTAGAATCTGTCATTGTTTAAGAGAGCATGTCTGAGAATACCAAAGTATGTGTGCAAGTGGATCTCTCCGATTTCGCTCAAAATTTGCAGGTAGGTTCCCTTTGGGGTGTGGATCGATTATGCAAAGCCCTTGAAAAAGTTTCTGAAGGGAACCTTGAAATTTGCATACCCCTCAAAAATGGCCGAAATATCACATTATTTATGGGTCTAGAAACGAGTCACGCCACAGCGTATACGAACAAGCTATGAACAAAACTCCATCAAGCCAACAGTGCCTCACCTTAGAACAGTTCCTGGAGCAGTACCGCTTAGCCACGCCAGCATCCCAGAAGACGAGGTCCATCACCCCCTGACGCCACAAATGATCGTCTTGAAAATAGCCAATTTACAAGCGCTGGCAGAACAGCCAGCTACGTCCTCAATTGGCCAGAACTATACACCGGCAGATAGTAGAACACCTCTTCTAGCGCTGAGGACATGTCCCCCATCTTCCTTTTGGGGTTTTCTTGAAATAAACTTTTTTGAATTTTTCCACTCGGCCATGCTGAAATACGGCCAAAGTCATACCTGCGCAGGAAAGCTCGCTACTCCGCGACGTCTCCTCAGCAATTTCTACTCCAACACTACTCCCAAGGCCGCAGAACAAAGTGTAGTGTTGACTCTGACAAGGAAAAGCAGCGGTGATCACTTGTCACTCCAAACGACAAGCTTCTCCTTGCGCCACCAATAATTTTTTGTGCGACTGTTGCTGCAAAAGTGACTGAAGGCCTGAGCGCAGTTTTTGAATTTTATTGCAAGATGCACGGTGAGATCGCGTGCTCTGTGACGTAGGATGACGCTTCCTGCATCACGTTACGCGGCCATCGATCGCGAATGTGCCAGGAACGCTACTCGGAACAGACCATGATGGCAGAGGTAAGATGAGCTTCATTTCCTGCTTGAACTGCTGAGAACCCCCACAAACTGTCCTAGGAGTGTTGCAATGGCAGCAAGCCGTTGGAATATGCCCCGTACAGCATGGAGAGTTATTCGTCTTTCACACTTACCTCCTGCAATCCCGAACATAGTCCAACAGTAAAAGTCCCTTGTTTTCATGTCGATGCTCGCCAAAAGCGACTAGCTCGGTCCCTTTGTGTTGACTGGCACACGAGCAGCACTGGCTGCACGCACTTGTCGCGTGAACTGCATGAGAGATTTCTTACGTCATAAAGAATGTGATTTCATCATCATTTCACTGGTCTTCGACCTACATGGTAAGGGAAAGTCCCGGTTCGTAGGCCTACAACACGGTCAGCGTGTTCTTGAGCGCCGTAACAACACAAGTGTGATCACTTCCAGACCAACGGGCGTTCAAGGCGAGTAACAAGCGCACTTGACAAAGGTGACTCTGAAATCGCGTGAGCCGTGGGCCACGGGACTTGGCATTCTTGCGTCACAAGGCACGTGATTTCACCGTGCATCTTGCAATAAAATTCAAAAACTGCGCTCAGGCCTTCAGTCACTTTTGCAGCAACAGTCGCACAAAAAATTATTGGTGGCGCAAGGAGAAGCTTGTCGTTTGGAGTGACAAGTGATCACCGCTGCTTTTCCTTGTCAGAGTCAACACTACACGTTGTTCTGCGGCCTTGGGAGTAGTGTTGGAGTAGAAATTGCTGAGGAGACGTCGCGGAGTGGCGAGCTTTCCTGCGCAGGTATGACTTTGGCCGTATTTCAACATGGTCGAGTGGAAAAATTCAAAAAAGTTTATTTCAAGAAAACCCCAAAAGGAAGATGGGGGACATGTCCTCAGCGCTAGAAGAGGTGTTCTACTATCTGCCGGTGTATAGTTCTGGCCAATTGAGGACGTAGCTGGCTGTTTTGCCAGCGCTTGTAAATTGGCTATTTTCAAGACGATCATTTGTGGCGTCAGGGGGTGATGGACCTCGTCTTCTGGGATGCTGGCGTGGCTAAGCGGTACTGCTCCAGGAACTGTTCTAAGGTGAGGCAATGTTGGCTTGATGGAGTTTTGTTCATAGCTTGTTCGTATACGCTGTGGCGTGACTCGTTTCTAGACCCATAAATAATGTGATATTTCGGCCATTTTTGAGGGGTATGCAAATTTCAAGGTTCCCTTCAGAAACTTTTTCAAGGGCTTTGCATAATCGATCCACACCCCAAAGGGAACCTACCTGCAAATTTTGAGCGAAATCGGAGAGATTCACTTGCACACATACTTTGGTATTCTCAGACATGCTCTCTTAAGAGAATTATCCACAAAGGGCGAATGACTCATGGATTCAATTAGTAATCTAAAGGCCATATCATCTTTGTTCTGCGCTTCCTAAAACTATAGAACATTTGTAAGTTATAGAGGGATACATGATTTTCCTTTAGACACTGTAGGGCAGCTCTGAAAACGTAGGACAATTTGCTGCTCCATTTACTGTGCGTGGCTGTCAATGTATCCAATGCACGTAACCCTTTACATCCAACTATTAGGGTCCCACTTCTTGACGGTACCCAGTTACTGCTCTGGACATCTGGACACCGTCTTCCATTCTCTCAATGGGCTCTGACTTTCTTTCTACGTCTTGCTCGTTACGATCAGGTAGACGCAACCTCTCTGTGTAGGATCTGATTGCGCTCATCCTACATGCCATTTCCTCTTTGCGTATCACCTGTGATTGTCGGCTGTAGCAGGATATCCCTTTGCTATTTGGATGGGGACTTAGTGAAATGGAAATAGCGTTGTTGTCCCACTGGCCCCCGCCACACAGCAACGCAAACTCTTGATTGTGTCTCCATTCCTATTATTATAACAACAAATGACGAGGGCGCAGGAGGAGAATGGAAAACAAAGGTCAAACGAAAAGTCAGTGCAGATCTTGCAGGCTAGGCTGGTCAGGTCTTGAAAGTGCCGTGCATAGTCGGAAGTGCAAGTGCGCAGCGTAATGTTTTGAAGAAATATAGGGACATTCGAGGGTAATGCATGGAGTTTTCAGGAACATTCTGTATCAAACAAAAAAAACGTCACTTTACCGGGAGTTTTTGTTTGTAATCCCCGAGATCCCGAGAGTAGTGTATGAAGCCTCTTTTACCGTCGAAAGAAACACAATGGATGAAAATGCAATACAATTTTAATGTGGCGCATCCCTGGCTCCCAGTGACCGGACCCAAGAATCACTACGAGCGACGACTGAATAGACGTGTGGCCTCACGACAAGCCCAGCACATCCCAGGGGCCAACCAATATAGCTGGCTTGGTCCAAGTTCCACCCCACACGATCAACAGACAAAGACTGTTAGTTTTACCTTGTGAGTAGTCATTCAAATCCGAGCTCAAAGTAAACCAAGACAGAGAGCTGAGACCGAGTCTCGACGGCAGTAAAAGAGAGAGCGAGAGCTTCTTTTATAGCGCAATTTAGAGATAATATGGCGTGATCATTGCCTAGAATGGTACGAGGTATTACCCGGAACTACAAGAACAGGTAAAACTGGAATATGAGCAGCCAGTCAGCAGAAAAGCAGAATGGATGTACGTAATCATTCGAGAAGAAAGAGAAAGAAAGACATGGAAAAGAAAGACCAAATTGGGACGTGGGGAGCCCGCTCACCCACGTCAGTGTACAATGTGAGTATATGAGGGTCACGTTGGGGAGCCCGCTCACTCAACTTGCCATAGTTCAGTGGCTCCTTATGGTAAGTTCTGCTGCATTCTTGGTCCCTCTTGCATGATACTCTGACCTTTTGCGCGGTGACGGTTTTGATTTATGCACACACATTCTTTCTTGCACATAGCTCTTGTTATACAATGTCATGTTATTCTTCCCTCCTTGCACGAAGCAAGGAGGCATCGTGGAACCCTCCAGAACGTCGTTGTAAAGTGATTTTGCACAAAGCCTGGAGTCACATATCCAGGAAGTGAAGCACTTGCAGGAAATGTACAACGCGAGAACTTACCTCACCAGGTTCCGGCGTTGGGTCACATGATATGCCATGCCAAGAAGGCATGTCACCTACGTGGGAAAGCGCGTGTCGCTCAACCTACATGCTAAGCACGTGGGACAAGACACTGGCCAAACCACATTTTATCAAAAAGGGCGTGACAGCTCAGCACAGAGATGCTCACTATGTAGATCCTGCTGTCACATGACTATCAGGCAGCAGTCATCACGTTCAGGGACGTGACAAATGCAAATCCCGAAAGCCACATCGATACATCTCTGGCTGATATGTTGCTGTTTTATCAAGCATGAAAAATGAATGTGACTTCCGCAAACTAAGTTTTCTCTTGCAGTAAAATCCAAAAACTACACGCAAAAACTCAGTCACTTTTGCATCAACTGTTGCAACGAAAAATGTTGGTGGCGCAAGGAGAAGCTTGTCGTTTGGAGTGACAAGTGATCACCGCTGCTTTTCCTTGTCAGAGTCAACAATACACTTTGTTCTGCAGCGTTGGGAGTGGTGTTGGAGTAGAAATTGCTGACTAGACGTCGCGGAGGGGCGAGCTTTCCTGCGCAGGTATGAGTTTGGACGTATTTCAGAATGGTCGAGTGGAAAAATTCAAAATTGTTTATTTCAAGAAAACCCCAAAATGGATGATGGGGGACATGTCCTCAGTGCTAGAGGAGGTGTTCTACTATCTGCTGGTGTATAGTGTTTGCTAATTGAGGACGTAGCTCGCTGTTTCATCAGCGCTTGTAATTTGGCTATTTTCAAGACGATCATTTGGGGCGTCAAGGGATGATTTCCCTCGTCTTCTGGGATGCTGGCGTGGCTAAGTGGTGCTGCCCCAAGAACTCTTCTAAGGTGAGGTAATGATGGCTTGATGGAGTTTTGTTCGTAGCTTGTTCTTGTACGCTGTGCCGTGGCTCGTTTGTAGTACCATAAATCGTGCCAATATTGGGCCAATATTGAGGGGTATGCCAATTTCATGGTTCCCTTCAAAATATTTTGTGCGGGCTTTGGAATGTCGATCTGCACCCCAAAGCAAACCTACCTTCAAATTTGAGCGAAATCTGAGAGATCGACTTGCAGATATGTTCTGGTTTTCTCAGACATGCTCTCTTAAGATTTTTGGAGTGATCATGTGCTAGACATTGGACATCTCTGTTGTCTAAGCCCATGTACAGCAGGAAGCACATGGTATTTCTCCAGATATATTTCGGTACATCATAGTATGATTGACAAAGATATAGTTACATTTCTTGTTCCGAGAAAGACTGAAGTATTTAATCAATTTTGTCATGTTCTTTTCATCAATCTTGATGGCATCAAAAATTATCACCTTATTTTCCTGATCATCGAGATCTTCCTTATCAAAGTTCAACCATGATTGTAGCAGCAAATGGCACAGGGTGTTTGTCTTCCCACAGCCCGTTTGTCTGATCATCATGTAGTGACAATCAGGAAGCAAGTAGTGGTGCTTTGTTGGTTTCTCCTTGTGCTCATCGAAGATAATCATTTCCATGGTTTGTACCTAAAAAGAAACTTTTTTATTGTTCCAACGCTCTCAAGTAAAAAACGGAGTTTCCGCCGAGTGTTCTGTGCTACAGTGCACCGCACTTTGTCCCCGTGACAGCTGCAGATGGTTTGCCGCTCGTTGTTGCGTGTCCAGCTCCAACTGGCCTTGACCTTCGACTGCTGCTGCTCATAGATTTCGCAATGGCGGATGCCTTGAGGGTGACCAATTCCTCCTTTAGTCCTTTGACTTCTGCAGATAGCTCTGATAGTCTATGGCTCATCCTCGACGCATTATCTGCGGATTCTGTGGCTAGGAAAGATAGCGTCTGCACAACTCCTAACAGCGAGTGCTCAATCCCTGGGAGGGAACAAAGCAGTTTCGTCTGGGCTTCACTTGAAAGCTCACCCATGACAACGGCCTGCCACCGGTGTGCTACGTAGACTACAATTCCACTATACTACTACTGCTATCTACCTTAAAATACTATACCTTCCTCCAGTCCGGCCTGATGCCGGCTGGGCTAAAAGAGAGGCAACAAATTTACGAGCTCGAAAATACGAACTGCACTCGATCTCTGATGCATATGGATGAGCCTTATTTGTATGCTACACTTGCTGAACAGGTTAGCAACCCCACGCTTGCTGGCCGAAGTCCCATTGACCACGCTGCGTGTGTACCCGCAACCGTCATTCGAACTTCTCCACGTCGCCTAGCCCCGCCCCCGCTGCTTCGGTGGAGAGTTCCGGTTTTATTTCTCCCTGTTGATTAGTTCTCCCAATATTAACTCCGGTTGTTGTTTTCTATATACTTACCTAAATAATTGATTTCCAAGTTTCAGTCCTTTTATTTACCTTCCAGTCAGAGTCCGCCGTTGTGAGTGCTGTGTGCGGAGTAGTAGTGGTGAATAATTGTTGTGCGTGCGTTACACAACACGCACAAGGCTCCTTGCTGTTATGTCAGAGATTACCGGACCTGACAAGACATGCCTGATTAACCATTTGCTGTATGGTACAACATTGTGAAGAAGAGGTTGGTGCGACTTCGGCGATAATAGGTAAAGTGTGTGTTGCTCCCTATGTGGCTGCTTGCGCTATTCCTGCCGACTCGAATTCTCAATTCACTGACTCACGACTGTCAACAAGAGGATATGAGAAGTCCACCGAACCGTCCACTCGGCAAACCTGCAAGAAAGCACCACTCCCTGATCAAGACACAGTGTTTCGGGGAATTCACCCCTCATCAGTTGAGCTTGAGTAGGCTGAGGAAGATTGTGCCTGAAGAGCACCACTTATATAGTGCTGTCCAGGCACAAACATCACCAGGGATACAAACTTACAGAGACGCTCCGTATCCAAGGCGACAAACATCTCGTGAACACCAGATAGCAGCGTGAGTCAGTGTCGCTCATGCAGGTGCTGAACAGACGCCGAGGAGATGATTGAGAGGCCACGCTCGCTATGACTGAAGATAGTGAGGTGGACACCAAGTATAGCGCTAGTATTGGTAAGATGGCCCATGTGCTGCTAGCAATGGCAAAGCAGTTGATCTTGGAACAATGTGAATCTGAGATGAAGACGGACCTGATCTACAGGATGTCTCTGCGTCAGGTTCAGGAGCATGGTGCGTCTTACCAGGTCGCACACGGACGACAGGGTGATACTGCCAAGAAACCAGTTGGAGGATCAGGTCTAAAGTCCACTATTTTGGCGCATTGCATGTCGATATCTGTCGGACACGCCGAGAAGAAGCTGGAGTCGCTGCCTAAAAAAGGAGAATGCGAGACTGTGTGGAACACAGAGATACGTTGTGTGTTGTCTGGTCCAGCGTCGGCAGCGTGTTGAAACAATAAGCCTGTGACCGTGTCATTTGTCACAGCCTACATCGACTACTTTGGAACAATTGAGTTGGCAGAAGTGGTGGGCACTGATATCCCACATTGGTCACCATTGCAGCAGCAGATGACACATAGTGAGCCCCGAATCGCTTGACTTGTGAGCTGTTGTACGACGCTGAGAAGTCCTTTGGGGAGGGGGGGGGGAATTTGACAAAACCACAAGTTCTCGCTGATGACATGGTATTTGCTTGAATGTCGCATTTCAACTCCGCCGTACCGCGGATGCATCATGCATGGTATACGCTATATGCGCTGTGTGTGATTTACTGTATACGCTATCATTTGCATGCTATAATTATCTGGTGGTCTTAGACTGAGTCCAGCGTTGAGAGTCAATAGTTGTCCTCGTGCCGTGTGCTCGTTCGTTTCTGACACTTACGAGAATCAGAGGCTTCATAACAAAGCATTTCACACACAGTGTCTACAACTGTTTCCATCAATCAATGCAGGAGATAATACTACTCACAGATATTCCAGGTTTGTTCATCACGTATTCAGCAGTACTCTATATATACACATTTCTACAACTGTTCCCTGCGTTCAATGTGGCGCAATTGATAATACTTACAGTGATTGGAGGTTTGTTAGACCAGAGAACACACCGTCACTTAAAGTCTGGATCTGATTATTACGCAAATCTCTACAAACGACAAGCCACAAGGAAAATGGTGTTGTTGCTTAGTTCCGGGTAGTGCACAAAACACCGAGTCTACATAGTAGTTCTAATCTAAAAGGCCGAATCATGATCTTGTTTTCAGAAATAACCCAGACTCCTAACCCACAACATGATTCATATGCAACTGGGTTAGGTTGCGCAGTTCACATATCTTACAGTGTTATATTATAACACTGAAAAAAATTAGTCTCCGTCATTTTTCTTCTATTGTCAAGCATGAGGTGTGTTGCAAAGCTAAGAACACACAATTTCTAACGATAATTTGGTTGATATTCCAGAAATATAGCTGAGCGCCAAAGCATGAAAACCATTCTGACTTGAGTATGTTACAAATTGCGTCAGAACTGAATATGATATAAAACAGTATACCGAAACGGAGACTTCCCCAGGGACTCATAGGTCCTTCGCGGATCATGGCGATAGAAAAGGTACAAAATTCTCGGTCTTCTTTATGGTTCGTTTAGTTAATGTTTTGATATGTTGATACCCCCCCCTTTTTTGGTATGTTGATGAAGAAATGGAGCAGATTTTTAAGGAAGAGGGTGCCATAAGGTTTGAAGGGTCTGCAAATTTCAATGCTTTTCGACCAGAATCTGTCATTGATTTAGAGAATTTTCCGCAAAAGGGCAAATATCCCATAGATTCAATCAGAAATCTAAAGGCCATAATAATGTTCGTTTCGCGTTCCCTAAAACTTCAGAATACTTGTAAGTTATAGAGGGATACATGATTTTGCATTTTCCATTAGGCACTGTAGGGCAGCTCTGAAAATGTAGGGAGATTTTGTTGCTCCATTTACTGTGCGCTGCTGTCTTGGTATCCCATGCACGTAACAATATTTAATCCAATAATTAGGGTTTAACCTCTTGACGGTACCCAGTTACTGCTCTGGACATCTGGACATCGTCTTCCATTCTGGGCTCTGACTTCCTTTCAAACTCTTGCTCGTTACGTCTCAGGTAGACGCATCCTCTCTTTGTAGGATCTGAATGCGCTCGTTCTTTGAAGAGAAAATAGCATTAAACTGCCCTTTCCTCTTTGCGTATTACCTGTGGTTGTCGGCTGTAGTCGGACGTTCCCTTGCTTTTTGGATAGGGACCAAGTGAAATGGAAATAGTGTTGTTCTCCCCTGGCCCCTGACACACATCAACACAAGCTCTTGATTGTGTCTCAATTCTTATATTATAACAACAAAATGACGAAGGTGCAGAAGGAGCATAGAAAACGAAGGTCAAACGAAATGACAACAGGAAAGACACGGAGAAACCACAAGGAACAAGCATTTAATAATAAATAATAAAGCGGATGAAAATCCATACCGACGCGCCACCAAAATCTCTATCCCTTGACAAGACATACTGAATCCCTGGATTTCTCTCAAAATCCCTGAATGTCACGAAAACAAGTGAAAAAGAGTGTTCCCGCCAAAAAAAGGTTTGACGGCATAAACTGCAGATCCGTACAATACTCTTCAACCCTGCAGTGCAGTTCGATCAGTCGGCGCCCGCGCCTGCAAGTGCAGATCTTGCAGGCTAGGCTGGTCAGGTTTTGAAAGTGCTATGCACAGTTCAAAAAGCGATTGCGCACTGCAATTTTAGGAAGAAAAAGAACGGGACATTCGAGGCGATTCCATGAAGTTTTCCAAAACATTCGGTATCAGACACAGATGTGACTTCAACCCTTTGCACGCTGAGCCCATTTTCTCCAATCCACTGGCTTTCCAGGGCACTGACTCTCTTGGTGGAGTATGCACTCACAGCTCCGAACGAAATTTATTCTCATTTCACTCCACCTTGATGGATTTTCATCGTCCTGGGCTCGTTGGAAAGATCAGGACCAAGCGAATCTATCCTGGCGGCTCTCAGCTCCATAGACACATCAGGGCCACTTCCACGTCCTCTCCAAACTACTCCACCGTGCCTCGGAACGGCACAACAACTCAATTTCACATTCTTTTTCGGCTTCTTGCCCAAATTCACCCGATGTTCACAATTCAAACTGCACTGCAAAGCTGAGATCAAAGCCCTTCATTGCATGTCCATCACGCATGCGCCGTGCCAAAGGGAAATCCCCTAGCACGCTCCTCAACAAAAGAAGTCAAGAAGAACAAACATTTTGAAAACTGTGCGGATGCAAGTTTTTGAGCTTCCGGTGCTTTCCAAGATCATCTTCAGTCGTTTTGCATACCATGAGTGAGACCATGAGTGAGATGGAAGAAGTAGACCTTACTACAATGTCATATGACAATATCTGTGACCTTGCAAGATCCAAGAAGGTGCTCCAAGAAGGTCAATCGAAGCTGAGCCGGCAAGAACTTGTGGCGATCCTGCGGACTAATGGAATCGGGACCAACGCAAGCTCTGCCCCAGTAAGTTGTGCTAGCTGTATTTCACTGCATGACTCCCTAGCAAGCTTTACAAAGGCCCTTGAAGGCATGGTTATGAAGATGGCTGGTTTCATGGAGATGAAGTCCACCATCGAGCACATACAGCAGGAAATTGCAACGATGAAAAACGAAGGGCAGCAGGAGGGCGCGAAGACGCAAAGCACGGCTAACGTTTGGAACCGTCAGTACGCTACCGTAGCGCAGTCTGCTTCAGCCTCAGCCTGTGAACCCAAACCGTACTCCCACAAACATGTACAGCATCAGTCTATGCAAACCGCCACCGACACCCAGCACTGGAAGCAGACCAAGTAAACCGACAAACCCGCACTGGCAGCACTGAAGATTCGAACTCGTCCTGGCAAACCCAAGGTCCACGATGCCCAAACCGCCCACGTGCATCAGGTGGGTCATCTTCACATCCCGGCACGAGTGCTACTGGCAGTACTGAACTACATGTACGTTCATCTGTCACATCGAAGTATGTGAAGGAGGTGACTGTAACAGCAGCCCCAGGTGTTCTAAGTGGAGTAGAACGCAAGCGCCTTGCAGTGCAGGAAATGTTGAAGTTGGCTGTGAGGCGCAATCTATTGTCAGGTACTGTGCAGATCGTAACATTGACATCATCCGCTGTTCAATTGCCACAAATCGTTATTTCGGCACAGCATACGCAAAAGTTACCATTCCGGCTGATGTCATCAACACCGTACTCACGCCTGCGTTTTGGCCTGCCACCATCGGCCACACAGTCAGAAAGTGGCGCTTCCATGACGAGGCGTCCATGCCGACGAAGGAACAAAGTACTGAAGATTAACCATGGCTAGTAGTAGTAAAATGAACCCAGGCGCAACCCCGTTCTATCCTGGATGTATACGGACACTGTCCCTGAATATTTGCAGTCTACGTAATAAACTTACTGACTTGTCCCAATTTGATATCGGACACAAAAACTGACATTGCTGCTGTATGTGAAACGTGGCTTAACAACTCCGTTCCGTCGATGGAGATGTCAATCGCAAACTATACTGTCTTTATTTCGGCTTGACAGGCGCGACAAACCCGGAGGTGGTGTATGTTTGTATGTTAATAACTCACTGTTTAGTCACCTACAGACTTAACAGCCGATGGCGTTGAATGCATTTGGGAACAGATCAAAGCTCACCCACAACCTCTTCTTGTCGGGTGTATTTACCGCCCACCGAGTCAGTCACTAGCTTACTGGCAGACTTTCGAGGCCATGTTACACAAGGGGTCGGGAGAAGCCAAGAATATTCTGCTTTGTGGTGGTTGACCCTCCTTAGAGCTTTCCAATGAGCCCTAGATTGTGATAAGTAAGCGAAGTAGACCAAAATTATGACCTGGTGAAGTTGACAATTGTAGTGAATTCGTACATAGGCTTCACAAGTGAACAAAATCAGTCAAAATGTTGACCTGAAAAACGAGTACGGAAAACTCTGAAACATTCTGCAAAATGGCACTGGGCAATACGCATGGGGGTAGTAGTAGTAGTAGTAGTAGTAGTAGTAGTAGTAGTAGTAGTAGTAGTAGTAGTAGTAGTAGTAGTAGTAGTAGTAGTAGTAGTAGTAGTAGTAGTAGTAGTAGTATTTATTTTGTTCAATATCGGATGCCTCAACAGTGATACACACAACTCTTAAGGGGGCCGATAACGGGGTAAGTGGAAAGGAAAGGAAAAGAAAAGAAAAGAAATAAATAGAATAAATTGGAATCCAGACATCAAGCAGTACAGTAATCAAACACCAAGTCAACTTCAAGCTTAGTACAAGAACTATCAAGATCATCGAGAAACTCAACAGATTCCAAAAATAAGATCAAAATACTTCTTAAACGCCACTGGGTCTTTAAAATGATCCCTGAGTTGGTTTGCAAATGTAGAGGTACGGTGGTGTTGTTGTTGTAGAAGTTTATTTAACGTCGCACCACAAACAGGCGATTTCGCCTCCTCAGCAGGCAGTGTGTTAAAGAAAATTGCGGCACGATTAGAAAACGAATTTACTCCATCAGCTGTCTGGTGCTTAGATATGGCAATGGAAGCATTAGAGTGGCTTCTAGTTCTAAGGCCTGTTGTGGTCGGTGGAAATAATTCCGTTAGGGTAGGCAGGGAGATGATGACATGATTTCTATGAATAAACTGGGCAAAGTTGAGAATCATATAGTGTTCAAATGGATAAATCGCCAATGTGGTCAATAATGGCGTGATGTCGTCCTGTGACTTAGCACCACAGGCAGCTCGCACAGCACGGCAGAACACAGTAGAGAGCCTTTGACGGTCCTTAGCGGACAGCTTCATTACAAAACACGAACAACAGTACAAAAGATCAGGTAGAATGACTGATACAATGGGATAGAGGGCACTTGGTAACACTGACTTTGTCTGGTTTCAGGCCTGGCCGTGACACGGCCGATGTGGTGTGGACACAGCGCTGGATTTCAGCTAAAGCCACCCACTTCGTGTGGGATCGCCACGTCCTTGGCCTCGACATGTCAAAAGCATTTGACACCAGTAGCTTCATGAAGTAGAATAGTACCCCTCTTTATCCAAAACTATATGTTACCATAATGTGGGTTATCCGAAAAGAGGGCAGATCTCCAATGAGGCTGTTATATACACACCTGCTATTGAAAGTTTGACGAGTCTTCCCTTGCATGCTCTCTCTCTCATGCAGCACACGTTAGAGTTGGATTCAGAGACATCATTCACAATTCTCTCGCTGATTAATGCCTCTACGATCACCTTGTGATTATGAGTTATACATACATACATACATACATACATACATACATACATACATACATACATACATACATACATCCTGGTCCTGGTCCTGGTAAACACTGCCATTACGGTCACGTGTCCCCTTACGGGGCCGACAATATAGAACGACGAGCGGGACCATGTTCGAGAGAGCCATCTCCAGCAGCTATGGATCTGGCTTATCATCGGAAACGATTCCTCTCACGGCTGCCGCTAGAACTGGTCCATCACTCTCCACAACAGAGCGAACATTCCATGAGCCAACGCTCAGAGTCGTTCCAAGTCGTCGTCTTCGTGCGGTGGTTTGCTCCACTCACGGGCTTGCAAAGCCTCGCGAAGGACTCCGAGGTGGGGGCGACGAGGAGAGTGTCGGCATCGTAACTATCCGACCAAGTCTCCTGTCGGTGAATACCCCACCTCAGGCACTGTTGGCCTGGACGGCTGGGGACACCCCAGGCCGTCCACAACGGCGAGAACAAGCACGGACGGAGGCCAGAAACAAGAGCCCGAAAAGTACAACCGTCCTCCACCAGAGCAGAGAACACACACATTGTCAAGATGTTCAACTATTTGAAAGATTTTCTTATCGTCGGAAACGATTCCTCTCACGGCGGCCGTTCGAACTGGTCCATCACTCTCCACAACAGAGCAAACATTCCATGAGCCAATGCTCACACACACACACACATACATACATACACACACAACAGAGGCGAAAGGCTGTGTTAGCTGTAACTTAAAGTTTCACGCATCGGAGCGATCATCAGACAGCAGCATTCACTATCGAATTCTCTACGAGCAGGCCTAGATATTTGATGCTAGTGTGGAAGTTAGTGCATATGTGCGAAGTGAAGACGTGGCATTTGGACAATGGTATTGAGTTGTTTTGTGAGAGTTAACGGATGAAGGTGAGAATACAGGCGATAACAGGGCAGTGTTACCGAGTCATTAAAGGCGATAGCGATGGTAGCGCAAGACCACAGCAAGAGTGAAGAGGGAGAGAGAAAGCACCATGGCGCCAAACCTGGTGCAGGTTGCGCCATGTCGAAAAACTCACGTAACTGATGGTGAGAATCTGGACATGTAATACTTGTTCTCGTGTCTGCATTTCGACACCAACTCCGACCTTTTGTTGATGTTGACCGTTTTGTTTGCTTCCAGGATCTCCAGTTTCTCAGCAAGGCATAGGGGACACCGCTTGGTCGCGTTTGAGTAGGCCTGGGCCTTGGTGACGACGGCCCATTTCACAGAGTGCGGAGTGTCCTTCCGCTTGAGCTTCCATATGCACTTGGACAGCTCCGTGCTTTTTTCCATCCTCTCATGCCTCGTCGTGCTCATGTGATTGTTGTATCTCTGTTTAAAGGGTGGTTCCGTTAGGCCGAGGTACTCGTGCCGCTGCTCTCTTCCGGTGTGCTGGACTGTTGCCTTGTACACGATGCATCGTACTTGGCAGTCGCCGTCCATTGGGCAGGTGCTTTTGTCTCGGCAGTTGCATCGTTTGTCGGGGACGTTCTTGTCCTGTGTTTGTCTCTTCCTTTGAACATGGTTGTTGTGGGATTTGACTATTGCGGACATATTTGGCATACATGAATAGCTAACTTTGACGTTGTTGCGGTTAAATATCTGACGCAATCGGCAGCCGTGAGGAAAGTGTGTGTCGAGGAGTCAGAGGAATTTGTGTGCGATGTCTGTGGCCACGTTCTTGCTAAAGGGTGGGTTGTACCAAGTGATGTTGCGCCGCCTATTTTTCTTTCTTCGTCCTGTCTCCTCCTTCCTCTCTTCCATGTACTCGACTCGTTCCACGTATCCACTCTCTCTGAGGGCATCGTTGTACGCTGGTGCCGATTCCTCAAATATGTGTCGGTCAATTGATATGTCTGTTAGTCGTCTGCTGATTGTCTTTGGCAATTGTTGGATGATGGCCGGTGGGTGATTGGAAAGTTGGTGTACATAGACGGGCTTGTTGTTCGGCTTCCGGTATGGTTGATATTTCCCTGTTGACAAATCCAGTGTCACATCCAGGAAATCTACCGTCTTCATGCCAGCGCTGATGGTCAGTTTCAAACTGAGATTCGTGAAAATCTGCCATGTGGTTTTTCTGGCGCGGTCTGCTGTACTGCCCGTCGCATCTCTGATCACCGCTAGTCCATCATCGCGGTACAATCCGATGTCTGCGCTGTCGAACTCCTCCGATAGCTTTGACAGAGCATATGTGCCGACCAGTTCGCAGACTTCTGCACCGTCGAAGCAGCCCATGGTCACGTCGAAAAGTCCTCTCCCGTCTTTCTTCATCCACTCCCGATCACTGTTGAAAAGCAGGGACTTCCGCGAGTGCATGACGATTTCCTTATCCTGCTGCGTAATGTCCGTGTACTGTGTGGCGAAAGTGAGCGCTTGTCCGAGTAGGTCCTCGGATATGGATGGGTAAAATTCTGCAATATCAAAACAGATAAACGAGCATGTGGATTTGTTTTCTAATCTTCGGAACCACTCGATCACTGCGGTTGTATTTTTCCACGAATTGATGTTGAGTTCTGATCGTACTTTCTGCACAATTCTCTCCATGATGCTTTTACTGACTTGGCCAATGTCGCTTTTTGCAGGGTTGATCAGCCGGCATGGAGTGCTTTGCTGAAAGTTTTCTTTTTGGTCTTTTAATGTGATGTAAGCATCTTTCCTCGCCATTGCTGCTCGTAGAGAATTCGATAGTGAATGCTGCTGTCTGATGATCGCTCCGATGCGTGAAACTTTAAGTTACAGCTAACACAGCGTTTCGCCTCTGTTGTGTGTGTATACTGCTCTGTACATTCGTACATTGAGCACTCTACCTCGAGCTTCCAGGACCGGCCTTGTTTGTACATACATACATACATACATACATACATTGAAGTACCATACATGTACATAGCGCTTCTTGGCAATTTGGAATAATTTATTTTATTTTATAATTATATATTTTTGGTCTGAATCCTTTTTTCTTCTGAGTCCTTTTTTCATTATCGTCATCTGTTTTCATTTGGTCTTTTTGGTGAAGCACGTAAAAGCATAATTAGCTGTTTTCTCGAGCATCCTGTGAGCATCCTCCACAGCATAATCCAGTCATTTCCGAGCATAATCCGCTTACCCCTACTAGTGTGCAGAAGGAACTATGACACTATGTAGAATTACATGGATTGTGACTAAGAGGAGCATCATGGCGAGTCGATTGTCCAAGCCGGTCGTATTGTGAAGATAATGATAGACAAGAGCAGTGATGTAGCAATGGGATTTGGGATAAAGAAGACGAGCTGTGAGAAGTTGACGGGTCACTAGAATGATAATGCACTTTTGTGCTCCTGCACATATTGCCAGGCGTCAGGCGCCCAGCCTCCCTGCCTCTCCGACCCAAAATACACAACAACAAAACTGAACTAAAGTTTTACATAATTTAATTATTCGACAAGACGGAGACGGGCAACGGACAAACAAAGAAGACCGGACACAACAAGGGAAACTGGAAACTGAAGAGAATGACAAACATCATAGCAGCACATGAGCATGCACGCAAACAAAACAAAACAAAATGCATGACAATGATGTAACCGTTCCATGGTGCATGCACAAACTGGATGTGAAACCCAAACCGTCTAACTGGAGGAAAAGGAGAGCGCAAAACAGAACAAAATATACCAAAGGACCACAACAAAATTGAGCCATGAAACGTCTTTCTTTCCAATACAAACGAAATGTAACAAGCGCTTTACACAAAGCATCTACAACTGTTCCCTTCAATCCAATGCAGCAGATAATAATACTCACAGATATTAGAGGTTTGTTCATCACGTTTCCAGCAGTACTCTATATACACACAGGTATAATTACTATTCTCTGCATTCAGTGGTGCAGTTGAGTATACTTACAGTGTTTGGAGGTTTGTTAGACCAGAAAACACACCGGCACTTAATTTCTGGATCTGATTACCGTCCAAATATCTACAAACGACAAAGCAAAAAGACAATGTTGCTCTTGCTATGTTCCGGGTAGTGCACAAAACACCGAGTCTAGGATAATGTAGTTCTTTAAAAAGCCGAATCATGATCTTCTTTTCAGAAATAACCTAGACTCCTAACCACAACATGATTCGTTTGCAACTTGGTAAGGTTGCACAGTTCACATTCACCACTGTAAATATAGTCTCTGGCATTTTTCCTCTATTGTCAAGCAAGAGGTTAGTTGCAAAGCTAAGAAAACACAATTGATTTTCTAATGATGCATTGTTTGACACTGCAGACACACAGTTCACATACACCACTGTTAATTATTTCTAATGGTGCATTGTTTGACAATGCAGACAAATAACTGGCCGCCGAAGAATGAACAATATACTGGCTTGAATTGTTACAAATTGGGTGAGAACTGAATATGACAGTATACCTAAACTGGGACTTCCCAAGGGATTCATAGTCTTTGGCGGATCATGGCTTTAGAAAAGGTACGAAAATCCTCGGTCTTTTTTATTGTTCGTTAAATTAATGTTTCGTTATGTTGACAATCCCCCCCCCTTGTTATATTGATGAAAAATGGAGCAGAAATAGAAGAAGTGCGTACCATAAGGTTTGAAGGTTCTGGAATTTTCAATGCTTTTCGAACATAATCTGTCATTGGTTTAGAGAATTATCCGCAAATGGCGAATGCCTCAGGGCTTCAATTAGTAATCTAAAGACCATAATGTATCAACTTCGGTCTGCGCTTCCTAAAACTTCAAAAATTTTGAAAGTCTGAAAGCAGGTATTAAATTCAAGAGTGATCTCTACAGCATCTACCGGAAATACCCATCCCCTACAAATTTCAACAAATACAAACACCAGCGTACCTATTTAAAATGCCTTTCCGGATCCTGCCATCGCTGCTACATCCACAACCTCCGTGCCACGATATCTCCCACAAACCCTCGCCTCCCATCCCTCCCTGTGCTCATTCGTCAACTGCAAAATCTTACCAGCGCCCGAGTCATACCTTCGAAGATTGTGGGCTGAACAAGCACCTCTCCGGAATCCATTGGTAACTTATATAACCGCCACTTCGTCAGTGCTGGCTTACAGGTTGACCCCGATGCTCCTATTCCCACTATTTCCTCCCTACCTCCACCAGCAACTACATTGCACTCCCAGATCATCACTTCATTGAATGTTCACAAGTACATTGCAATACTGCCTCTGAACAAATCCCCCGGAGCTGACAGGATCACCAATGAGATACTCAGGAAACTGAGCTACTCAATTGCCCACCCACTCTCCATTCTTTTTAACCTTTCCCTCTCCTCCGGCACATTTCCGTCACGATGGAAGTCAGCCACTGTCATTCCAGTGTACAAAAATAAAGGCGACAAGAACAACCCGTCTAATTACCGACAAATCTCCCTCCTGTCCTGTGTCTCCAAACTGCTAGAGAGAATAATGTACGACCGCTTGTATGGCCATATCTCCCCTCTTCTTCACCCCGTACAATCTGGCTTTCGTCGTAAGGACAACACATCCCTACAATTGTCCAGCATAATCCAGGACCACTGTTCCCTAGAAGAGCGGCAGGTCTCCTGCATCTGTGCCTTCGACCTCTCCAAGGCCTTCGACACTGTGTGGCACAAGGGCCTGATCGTCAAACCTCGTGCCCATGGTGTCTCCGGCTCCCTACCCGCCTGGATAACTAGCTACCTGTTGGACCGAAATCAGTGCTTCACAGTGAATGGAACCTTATCTGACCCCGAGTCTGTTACATCCGGAGTGCCCCGGGGCTCCATTATAGATCCCCTGCTCTTCCTCACATACGTTAATGACCTCCCCTATGCATTTCCCAATATTTCTTTTTTTGCAGATGATACCACTATCCTTGCTTCCTCCCCATCTCACGCCACCCTGTACCCCAAAGTTCAAACCTGTAACAACAACATTGTTCACTGGATGAGCACTTGGTACCTTAAGCCAAATGTGACCAAAACCGAGCTCCTCCTTTTTCTCCCTCCCACAGATCCAGTGGCCATCTTCCACTTTCCGGATGATCCCGGTCACCATATCTCTGTAGCGCCCCCCATAAACACCTTGGCATTGTCATAGATTCCGCACTCTCTTGGTCTCTCCATGCTGATCTTGTGTCGTCCAAAGTATGGCGATCTGTCGGCATCATGTCAAGTCACTTGTCCTATTTGCCCCAAAATTGCCGGATTAATTTGTATAAATCATACATTCTATCCCTCTTCACATACGGCTTCCCTGCCTGGTCTACCATTAACAAAACCCACATAGGTAAAATAGAAGTTCTCCATCCCGTATACTGCGCATCATATTTCGTACTGATCGTTATATCTCAAATCTAGACTTGTATGCTGCTGGATCCACTACCACTCTGCAACACTACCTTGATGCTTCCAAGTGCACCCTGGCACATTCAATTTTTCTTGACCAGCACCCTGCTCATTTACAATCCCTTAATTGGTTTAAGTCAAGTGGCACCGACCGAAGCTGCGTTCGTCTCCCCCTAGCTAGGTCTACCCTATTCGTAAATTACCCTTTCTTTTCCTCCTACTCCACATGGCTCCAACTGCCTCCCAGTGTAAGACAAGCTCCAGATATGCCCAAATTCCGTACCTTCGTCAGACAGCACTTCCGTATCTCCCAGTAAACAAAATCACAATCACCACTCCCGCTGCATAGCTCGCTGAGCAACCCGTTGCTTTGTAAGTTGCTAATCCCTTCCCACTTTGTGAAAGTGCTCTTCATTTTCTTCTTTCTCTTCTTCCGTGGTTGGTCCCACCCTCTCCTCAATTCAATTGGCTGTCTTGACATGCCACGAGGTGCAGAAATAAATAAATATAAATAAAATAAAGTTAAAGAGGGATACATGATATTTAATTAGCCACTGTAATGCAGTTCTGAACACGTAGGAAGAATTTGTTGCTCCATTATCTGTGCGCTGCCGTCTGCGTATCCCAAGCACGTAACCCTTTTCATCCAAGTGTTGTAATTGTAACACCATGTTGTAACTTTACCGTGTTGTAAGTGTAACATTACTTACATGACCAGGAGGAGGAAAAGGAGCACACTGGTGCATCAACATTGGACGTAGATGAGGACGATCAGATATAGATCGCACTACAATTATCGGTGGATGACCACCACAGGACCTAAAAGTACATGCTGACGAATGTGTGCTCCCCGGTGTTGAATCGTTTTAGCTACGTACTGATTACTTTAACGTCCGCATTGAAATTTAAAAAAAAATGATAAGATTCGTTTCACTCAGGGTAGGTAGAACAATATTCCTCACAATGACCACTTTACAGCTTTACACACGGGTACGACAAAGATACAATGGCATCACCTCCTTCTCGATTCGTGCAGAGCCATTACCCACCCAGATCAAACGCAAAAACACAGGGCGTCTTTCTGGTCCAAACGTTATTGTCTTCCACGAAAATGGTTTGTTACTGATAAACTTTGCTAGGAAAGTCTTCGTATAACCCATCTTTGTTATTCCTTGTCTAGCACCATTCCATGTGCTGAAATGGTCGCAAACTCGCCACCTGTGCTTGTCTTACTTTGGCAGCAGCCTTGAGAGCTGCCGGTGCTTCTGATGCAGTGTAAATGTCGGCTTGCAGTAGCGTCTGCATTGTATTGCACATAAAGCCGTTCTATCTTTCTTTTAAAAAATTTCTTCGGTCACATACCCAATTTATAAAATAGTAATGAAAGCCACTGGTACTGAGATTAGGACAAGCGTAACAACTACTGAGCACAAACTGCTCTGAGATGCTGCAGTGAAGGTGGGCCATTGATGGCTCTGTCAACGTGAGGTCTGCAAATCACGGCCAAAACACCCTGAATCGATCAGCATCACTGAACGGCGACCGCCGATATTTCCCTGTACGCGACGTAGGTCGTGTTCAGGTTCATCACCGAAGCTGACGTCGCTGACATGACACCTTTCTGCAACGGGACCATTTCCTACAGCTATGGGTGTCTCCGGCTCCGTAGGTTCCTGGAGAGCAACGTCTTAAACCTCCAGAGCTCCGAACCGGTTAACGATATTATAACGGCGTGGGTGCTTGGGTCGTCGCCAGTAAGCGCACCCCCTTTCTTACTGGCGGCCTGCATTTGGGTAGGGCTGTCCACCCTCAGAACAGTCTTTAGCGAGGTGGCCTGGCTTCCTGCAAGCAAAGCAGTGTCCCATTGCTCGCAGTTCGACACGCTCTTGGTCCATCCGCTTGCGGAGGCCCTGACCACGGAAGCAGGGCAAGGGGCGCGACTCTTTACTCGCTGGTGGCCCCGACGCCGGTGGCCCTGACGAACGCTCCATAGTGTTTGCTGCCATGGCAGCTTGCTCCAGGGTACACGGATGCTCACGCATGACCTGACGCTGGATGTGAGGCACTAAACCCCTGAAGAACAGCAGCGCTTTGGTGTGGTGGTCAATTTCCGGCACTTGCAGGCTGAAGCGAGTGAAAGCATCAATGTATGCATACAGCTACCCGTGGTGTGCTGCGGAAATAGGTCTTTTGCCAAATAAGACACGCAGTGACTTGGCGGGGCATGGCATGCGTACTGAATGCGTGACCCAGGCTTGCCATACATGCAGTGCATTCCTCCCAGCGCGAGCTCTTGTTCTGGAACCGCAACGATCAATCACCGCGTTTGGCGTGTATTTACCCAGGCGGCCAGAAAAAAGGGACTCTCCTGGATCGGAAAAAAACTGACAGCGAAGGATTCTGTTTTCTTCTCGCTTCTTCATTGCTGTCCAGTATGTAGAAAGGGTTTTTCGCATTTACTTCTTGCTGGACCTTTGTGATATGTTTGATACATGGCTGATGAAGCCGTTAATGAGCCGAGCACTTCATCTCTTGTGGCGGTACGTTGCGATGAAGGGAATGTTGTCACTTGATAGTACTGCGAGGGAGAATCAAGTTGAATAAGCGATCCCAAAGCTCGGGTTTTGATGCCTT